TAAACCGTAGGCAGAGAGAGAGAAGAGGACAACAAACGAGGGGCTATGACAAACTGTTTCGTCGGAGTTTCACCGACTCATCAGGAGGCTGAACATTTTTTATTTTTTTTTTGGCCCGGCCGGGCAAGCAGACCTGGGCCACTCTGGTAGCCGTTTATTAGTATTTATTTATTTACTCATTAGTATTATTTACCTAGGCTACCAGAGTGGCCCGGGACCACTTGCCTGGCTGGGCCAGAAAACATTAAAATAATAAAATAATAAAAAATAGTTAAAAGATTTGCAGGTAACCCACAAGATGTTCCAAGCCTGGGATGTCCCAGATGTGTCCTGGCCGGTTGTTCGAAGACCACCCAGGGGGGGTATCTGCCTTGTGGGGTAAGTTGCAATTCACCCAAATGATGTCCCAATTCCCGGCTGTCCGGGGCCAGATCCTAAGGGGGAGCCACCCCTTGAGTGGGGAGTGCACCCTGAGTGGGCCTTATCCTATTCTGCAGGCGATTCGTGAATCTCTGATGCTGTAGAACATGAAACAAGGTCTCATGACTACCTAGTGGAAGTTCTGGAGGGGACACATGAGTGGACATTGCCGCTTCGAGCAAGGGAACAGCAACATCCTGTGGAGCAGGCATGGAGAGAATCAGGGCAGACAAAGAAAAGGCTGCTGGGATTTGGTTGAGAAGCGATGTATTGCGTGCTGTAACGACAGACAAGAAGAGTTGTGGTGTGGTACACTTCATCCCAATGCAGCATCAAATTGGAAGTCTCCGGAATGTCACACTAACATATGCCATCAACAAAGCGCGCTCATCCTTGGGGGGGGAGAACAAAAAAGCACACTTTGTCCTAATATAGCGTTGGATTGGAAATCTGTGGTATACATCAAACAGTAGTGGACCAGCTGATCACCAGATGGACATGTCAGCTCACAAACGAACAAAGTTTCATGCCCGTCGATGGACAGACAGACACAGACAGAGGAGAAAGGAGGAAAGCCAGCTACATGACACCCGCTGAGACACTACGACCAGTGCAAACAGAAGCACATGGAAAGAGCAGATGAAACACACATGCAAGATGCACGCATGTCCACATACACAAAGTCACGCGCTGACCACTGGATGGCCATGCCAGCAGACAAGAGAGCATGGAATTCATGCCGAACAATGGACAGACAGATAAAAAGGGGAGAGGGAGGTGAAACGACAGCAAAATGACACTTGCGAGATACCACAAGCAATGCACACAGTCATTTGTGACATCCATTAAAATTCCACCAATACACAGAAGATTAGCATGGCCCCTGCAGTTTCAACTTTCAACGATGATCGTACATTAGATCGAGAGAAATGTTTTTCTTAAAAAAAAAAAAAAAAAAAAAAAAAAAAAAAAAAAAAGAAAGAAACAACAAAAAAAAAAAAAAAATAAAAAAAAAAAAAAAAAAAAAAAAAAAAAAAAAAGATCGAGAGAAACGCTCCAAGCTTTAAGAACTCTCAGCAAACGAATAACTTAGCCCTCACATCAATATAACCTTGAACGAACGTGGCGCCCAAGGCTTCTGCCAAAAGGACCAGAAAAAAAAAAATGCAACGCACACAGCAGAGCAACAGAAAACAACTGCGAGGTCCACACACAACGGCCACATATGATAGTCACTCACCCAGGAGCTGCAATCGGAAGCAGCAGCAACAACCAGGGGTACTCTTGGATCCTGTAGAGTTATCCAACAGAGTAATAATTAACCAGAGTCATCCAGTCGGAGTTAGCAAACCAGACTCATCTAATCCCACTCTGCCAATCTGAGTCAGCCACTCAGAGTCCGAGAGTCGCCCGTACGACGCATTTGGGTCCAGTCATCCAGCCTCTGCCACAATTGGTCACCCAGTCCGCCAATCCAGCAATCGGCACAAAACCAGTAACTGCAACATTTAGTTTGCGTCTTCATCTGGGGGCGTGCATAATACGCATATACATCTGGGTCATGTCACGCAGCCTCTGTGACAAAGACTCTGCGAGACTCTGCGACAAATATCAAGCTCCAATTCCGTACACCGATTCTGATTGGTGTGACATCGGGCATGAATAACAGTCATCCATGCTATCAACCCTGTGTAGTCCTTCGGGACATCCGTCAAAATTGGAACGATACAGAGAAGGGTAGTTAGCATGGCCCCCGCGCAAGGATGACAAAAGAAAGGGAAAAAAAAAAGAAAAGACATTACATGCATCATAAGCAGTTGCAAGGAACATGAGCGAGAGCGATAGACAGAAATCCCAGTTGCAAAAGCACGAAGAAGCTCAGATAGTCATGAACCAAGCAGACAGAATGCAGCAAGGTACCGTGCAAACAGGAAAAGGAAAACAAAAGAAAGAAAGAGAGAGCTACGGCAGTAAGTAGTTGTAGCCCATAACTGCTGGAACACAGACCTGAGTTCGGATCCAGAAGATATATTGCTGGCCTGCTCCTCGCTCATCCGAAATTTGTCGAGCGTCTCCGCTGAGATATAAGAGCCCTGCAGATTCTCTGCTGGGGGCCCTTCAGAAAAAAAGCTATACGCAATGAGGAATACGGGGCCCTATTTTTTTTTCCTCTACCTTTAAAATCTGTAGAAGGGAGGGGCACGCCTCGCTACCTCAGCCACCCCCAATACCCCTATACACTTCCTCAACACCTCAAAATC